TTATATCATAGGGTACCGAGCAGCATCTTACTTGCTGGTACCTTTAATTGACTTGAGATATTCTCTATGTCATTCTCTAGATTTTTTTTTTTCCTATTATTTTGGGTGAAAATCAGCATATATGGTTTTGTGTAGTGAAATTGGTTTCATAACTGAATGGAATAAAAGGAACCCATTTGTACAGCTTACATAAGCAACTTTCTTCCGCAGATCTCCAAGGGTTTTTAACTAGTGCTCATTAGTTCTTATTAGAAACCTTGCCAAGATGTCAGGTGGTGGTATCCATTTGTACCTGTGGGCACACTGAGTTAGGCATACCGGGGTTCAGCCTTCTGCTGGAGGTTCCATGGTCCACGCGGGCAGTCCGCCTGACCAGAGAATATCTTCCAGACAGCGTAGACTCCTGGGTCCCTCTGGCCCCCGATGTGGGGGGAGTCCTTGGGAAGAATCAGTCGGTATTCAGAATGTTCAGTCCCCAGGCTCATTCCTTAGATCTGTTCCCAAAGTTGAGTCAAAACTGGTACAGATAAGATCTTCTGTCAGACAGGAGGATATTTTGAATGCCGTTTTTCTTTGGTTCACATTGAAGTGGGGTGCGGCTGGTACTGGGTGAAATGCCTTCATTACAGTCCACCAGCCGGGCCCTTGCCCTGCTCTGAAGGGTGCTATCACCATGGATTAGAGCAGCATCTGCAGCACCGCCCCGAGCTCTGGCGACAAAAAGAGATCCACTTGTAGTGGTTCTGTTTTAAAATTCTTTGTAACCCGCTCAGGCCAGACATGTGTATTATAAAATGTCACTGCTGACGGAATCAAAACCCCTAGTCGGTTATGCATAAATACATTCTTATAATCAAAAACAGGGAGCCCTGGTGGCACAATGGTTAAGTGCTTGGCTGCTAACCAAAAGGTTGGCAGTTTGAACCCACGCAGTAGCTCTGCAGGGGAAAGACCTGTCCATCTGCTCCGGTAGAGATGGGTGGTGGTGGTGGTGTGGGCCATTGAGTTGATTTCGGCTCCTAGTGACCTAGGAAACCCAATGGGGCAGTTCTGTTCTGTCACATGGGGTCATGATGAGTCAACATCAACTTGACAGCACCGAACAACAGCATAATCAAATATACCATAGTTTCAAGACTGTAAACATTTGGTTTTTGTTTTTTTAACTTGGATGTTTTTATAGCCACCCCACCATTAAATTAAAAGATTTCCTCTAAATTTTATATATATATGCATATATATGTATGTATATGAAGAATTAAATGCATTGTAATATTAGATTTTTTTTTAAGAGTGAAAGGTAATTACTTCTCATAATTTTTTTTTCCGATTTCCTGTATTACAACTCTTCTAGTCTTAGAAGCTTCCAGGAAGCTAAAATTAAAGCTTTAATTAATGTTAGCAGGAGTGCTCTGTCCCTGGAAAATATGGGGGACTTAATTTCAGCTCTTGAACATTCTGAAAAGAGATTATACATGCTAATGGTATCTGATTCCAGTAATAGTTACTTAAAAAGAAATCTTAATAATACCGTGAGACCTGTGAGCGCCGGAACTCGCCGGGACTGCCATGTTTTTCCGGGTCTCACAAGTTTTCCACCTTTGACAGGATGCAGTCACCACTTTTCTGTCTCTCTCGTTTCAGTGGAAAATATTTGAGTTTTCCTTTTCAGACAGGTTTGCAATTTACACAGGTTTTGGCTTTCAAAGGTTTTACTGTAATAAAAAAACCCATTGCCATTGAGTTGATTCCGACTCATAGCGACCCTGTAGGACAGAGTAGAACTGCCCCATAGGATTTCCAAAGAGTGGCTGGTGGATTCGAACTGCTGACCTTTTGGTTAGCAGCAGAGCTCTTAACCACTGTGCCACCAGGTTCCCAATTATTGAGGACTTCGTGTCGTTAATATTTCCATTCTATGAGGTAGGTTGGTATTATTTATTCTAATTTTACCGAAAAGATAACTGAAGGTAAGAGAGGTTAAGTAAGGTCCATACGAAATAAATGAGGAGCCTAGGATTCAAACAAATTCCTCAGAATCCAGAGTCCATGTATCCAACTGTTCTAGCAATTAGAAGACCTTAAAATAGCATCTTTAGCAAGGCTGGTGATATATTTTGCAAATTGAATCATCTCATATTAATTACAGTGGCATTACTGGGTAACATGTTTATCAAAATATCTCTGAGGGATATCTTTGGATCTTTCTAGATTACTGAAGTCCTGCCTATGTGAAACACATTTGAAATTTTGTTTCAGCCACTAAAAAGTCAGAAGGAGAAAGTAATTTATTAAACGAGCCCCTTGTCTGCTGAAAAGAAAACACTTTTATGCTACACAAGGCTGTCTGTTTATTGTTATAGTTAGCTGCCTTCCAGTTGGCCCCTCACTCATGGTGACGCCATGTACAACTGAAAGAAACACTGCCCAGCCCTGTGCCATCCCCCATGATCGGTTGCAGATCAGACCACTGAGATCTGTAGGCTTTTCAATGGGTGATTTTCAGGTGGAGATTGCCAGGCCTTTCTTCCTAAGCTCTCTCTAGACTTGTCTGACCACCCTGTCCTATTGTGTACGGCCATCTTTCCTCTTGTAACTTACCAAGAAGCTGGGTCTTAAAAGAGGATGAAGTGAAAACATAAGAGGAACACACTGAAATTGTCTGAACTGACATGGAAATTGATGACTTTCCTCTGCCCTTTAGGTGCACATGGACACAAAGAGCTTTCAGAGTTTGTATTTTCTGAAGGTAGGGCGGGGATTGGAATGCCGCAAGGTGTGAGAAGCACAAACAGGACCTCTCTCTTTTCCTTTGGAAATTCTGAAACCCAACAGGATTCTCCTGACGGGTAATCCCCTTTGGATGGCTCAGCACAGGGGTGCTCTTTGATTCTGGGGAAGCTACTGCAAAGAAAACCTCACTGTGCCGGCGGAGAACTGAGTCCTGCTGTTCACGCAGCAGAGAAGGTACTGGCCATTCAAACCCTGTCTGTAACTGGGGAGAAACCAGAAGAAACTTATATCCTGCTACGTTTTCCTTGGTCTGGATTTTGCTGATTGCATCCCTTTGCTGTCGGGTAACATATTCCTCTAACTCCTGTAACTGACTAACCAGCGGTCGTCAAGGTGACTCCAACTCACGGTAACACCATGTGTGTCAGGGTAGAACCATGCTCCATAGGGTTCTCAATGACTGTGACCTTTCAGAAGCAGATCGCCAGGACTTTCTTTCGAGGCACCTCTAGATGGACTCGAACTGCCAAGCTTAAGATTGGTAGCCGAGCACTTAACCATTTCAGCTACTCAAGGACTCGGTAACTCCTGTATTTCCTAAAAATTGATAATCAGCTTGATCAAATTCAGGTTTGATGGGAAGAAGAGCAAGACTCTTCCATAGTGTTTCCTTCCGTCAGAAGACACCTACTGTCTGGTTTTCTCACATTTTTGTTCCAACGCTCAATGCGGATCATCTCTAGTTCACCATCACCGTGAGCTGGAGCGTGAGCTAAGGTGGAGTCACTGGCTGAGGCCTCCCAGCTCTGGACAACTAAGAACTTTCCGGGGCCCATCGCCCCAAAGCTGTGCTTTTTTAGAGTGCTTTTTAAAAAACAAACACACCATTCCATCTGTAAGGGCTTAAAGCACTAGCCAGGGCTCCTTGATGTAATGATCAGGAAAAATTATTTCTGTAGACCCTTGTCACTACCCAGATCATTTCTGCAAAGATCTGGGTGGAGTGCCAAACAAAGCACAGATCAAAAATATACCAACTGTATTGCATAATGTGTGATTGGTAACTTGTCCCTCAACGCCAGCATAATAAACACTCCTTACTCTGTTTCTCAGTTGAGGGACTTGGGATAGTATATCGCTTTCCATTTTTTTTATCTGTGAAGTCTCATGATAAGGAGCCGTGGTGGCTCAATGGTTAAGTACTCGGCTGTAACTGAAAGTCTGGCAGTTCAAACCCACCAGCAGCTCTATGGGAGAAAGACCTGGCAATCTGCTTCTGTGAAGAGCACAGCCTAGAGAACACTATGGGGCAGTTCTCCTCTGTCGCATGGGATTGCTATGAGTCAGAATCAACTCAAGGCACCTAACAACAAAAGTTCCAAGATAGATACTGAATATTTCAAACAAACTCTATGGTTTTTACTTCGTGGTTTCCATTTGAATACACAGGACCACTTATAGCAGCAGATTTTTAGTCCAAGAGGTATACATTAAGACAAATAGCAAGAATTATGCAGTAATGATTGAACATTACATGTAAAATCAGAATACCTAAGGGACAGGCTCCTACTCATTTAAAGACTGTCACCTCTTGTCATAGATTGAATTGTGTCCCCCCAAAATATGTGTCAACTTGGCTGGGCCATGATTCCCAGTGTTGTGTGCTTGTCCTCCATTTTGTGATCTGATGTGATTTCCCTGTGTGCTGTAAATCCTAGTCTCTGCCTGTGGTTAATGAGGCAAGATTAGGTTATGTTAAAGAGGATTAGGGTGGGATGCAACACACTTACTTAGGTCATAGTCCTGATCCGATATAAGGGGACTTTCCTGGAGTGTAGCCTGCATTGCCCTTTATCTTACATGAGATAAAAGGAGAGAGAAGCAGAGAGAGAGAGGGATTTCCTACCGCCAAGAAAGAAGACCTGGAAGCAGAGTGCATCCTTTGGACCCAGGGTCCCTGCACTGAGAAGCTCCTAGACCAGGGGAAGATTGATGACAAGGACCTTCCCCCAGAGCTGACAGAAAGAGAAAGCTTTCCCCTGGAGCTGACGCCCTGAATTCAGACTTCTAGCCTCCTAGAATGTGAGAATAAACTTCTCTTTGTTAAAGCCATCCACTTGTAGTGTTTCTGTTATAGCGGCGCTAGGTGACTAAGACACTCCTTCGTCCTATAAAGGGAGAAAAATAGTAACAACAATGGCCATTCTTGATAAAAGGTTAAGAGCCTCTAATAATCGTTCTTATATGTATATTTTTTCTCTCTCTAGGAAAAGCCACTGACAAAATCTCTACAACGTGGAGAAGACCCCCAGTTTGATCAAGTACGTGATATGTTATATGTGTCGTCCTGTTTGATCAAGTATGTGATATGTTATATGTGTCATCCAGTTTGGTCAAGTACGTGATATGTTATATGTGTCATCCAGTTGGATCAAGTACGTGTTATGTTATATGTGTCGTCCAGTTGGATCAAGTACATGATATGTTATATGTGTCATCCAATTTGATCAAGTACATGATATGTTATATATGTCATATACTGGGTTTCATTTATTTCAAAATGAACGAAAAGCAAAGGCTGGGCAGTAACTCTTGGTATGTTGATGAATGGCCTTAAAGAGGATCTGGATATGTGGTCTGAAGAACTGGGCCTGGTTTATCTCTGTTCCTGCAGCATCAGCAATTATGGCTTGTAGTAAATTTTCAGTCACTGTCTGTTGATTTGAACTGGAAGGAGCTGGAATGATATGAGTAGGCCCTCAATTGATTTGTTTCCTAAATCTTTGTATACCAGAATTAAAGAAGCTGAGAAAAGATAGTTTAAAGGAAATTCCATTAAAAATATTTAATGATATCCTGGAACATAAACAGCACTATGTAATGCTCAGATTCCTGCACTAGGATGTATTCATGTTTCTATCCAACTTTTTTTTTTCAATACCTACTATTTACTTAAGGAGCCCTGGTGACATAGTGGTTAATCACTCATTTAACCAAAAGGCTGGTGGTTCGAACCCACCAACGGCTCCTCGGGAGAAAAGACCTGGCAATCTGCTCTGGTAAAGATTATAGCCTAGAAAACCCTATGGGACAGTTCTACTCTATCATATATGGTCACTGTCTTCATCTGAGTTCTCTAAAGGATCAAAGCCAGTGAAGAATGTAGAAATATACAGAGAGAAATTTCCTTAAAGGAAATGCCTTACACAGTTGTGGGGGCTGGCAGTCCCAAATCCATGGGTCAAGCGAAAGGCTGAAGACCTCTGCTGGTTCATGGGGTTGCGGGGGCTGACAAACCCAAAATCTGCAGGTCAGGCATCAGGCTGAAGGTTCTGCTGGCTCATGGGGTTGTGGGGGTTGGCAAATCAAAAATCTGCAGGTCAGGTGGCAGGCCGGAGACTTCTGCAGACGTACGTCCCAGGAACCAGGGGTCAGGAAATGAGAAGAGTGCAGGGTCAAGAGAGAGCAAGCTCTGCCAGAACATCCATTTATATACTGGAGGCAGGCCACACCCCCAAAGAAATTCCCCTTTCAACTGATTGGCTGCTCACATCACATAACATCATGGAAAGTGATTACATTGTATCACATTATAGAGGAGCACCCAGTCCAGTGTCTGCCAAACCACTGAGAATCATGGCCTAGCCAAGTTGACACTTGTCATTAACCATGACAGTCACTGTGAGTCAGACAGCACCCAACAACAAGAATACTGTTTACTTGACACAGTGCTAAGGTCTGGTGATACAAACCCTAAGACAAGGTGTAGCTTTTCAAGAATCCATGTATCTGTGAGAGGGAAACCATCTAAGCAGTAATTTCAAAACAGTATAGTAACTTAGATTCTAGTGGAGAAAATAATGCATGAATAAAACAACTTAAGACAGAATAAATGCAAAGAAAGTCCTTTGAAAATAGATGAGGACTAGGGTTATGGATTGAATTGTGTCCCCTAAAAATATGTGTTGTAAATCCTGACCCCTATACCTGTGGTGGAGCTTCGGTGGCACAGTGGTTAAGCACTTGGCTGCTAACCAAAAGGTTGGCAGTTCAAATCCACCAGCCACTCCTTAGAAGCCCTATAGGGCAGTTCTGCTCTGTCCTGTAGGGCCGCTATCAGTCGGAATCGACTTGATGGCAACAGGTTTGGTTTAGTTTATACCTGTGGTTCTAATCTCATTGGGGAATGGTTTTTTTTGTTATGTTGAGAGGCCATATCAGTGTAGGGTGTGTTTTAAGCCAGTCACCTTTGAGACATACAAAGAGCAGACTGGGACAGAGAAGAGAGCAATGTTTGGGGAAGATAGATGCCATGCCACATGGAGATCTCCGAGGAACCGAGCAACAGACGCTGAAGAGACAAGGACCTTCCCCCAGAGCCAGAGGAGAGAGAGAGAGCTTTCCTCTAGAGCTGGCAACCTGAATTTGGACTTCTGACCTCGTAAACTGAGGAAATAAATTTCTGTTTGTTAAAGGTAGCCGTTTGTGGTATTTCTGTTATAGCAGCACGAGATAACTGAGACAGCTGGTAAAAGGACATCCAGCTATCAACAGAACAGACCTGAGGTCAGGGTCTGACAGGCCTGAGTAAGCCGATTCAGGAAGGCTTCAGATTAGTCTAAGAATGATGGCTAGCCGGACGTCACAGAACGTCAGAGATGTGTTTGTGGTATTGCCCTGAACAACTGCCATTCTCCCTCAGAAACATCGCCTGGTGCCGCTGTCAGAGACACAACTCTGCTGCGTGCATCCCGGACTCATCTAATATGGCAGATTTTACTGTCTTACGGAGAACACAAGGAGCCCTGGTGGTGCAGTAGTTAAGCTCTTGGCAGCTAACGGAAGGGTTGGTGGTTTACACCCACCTAGCAGCTCCATGGGAGAAAGACCTAGCAATCTGCTCCCGCAAATATTAATAAAAAAAAAATTAACCCATCGCTGTCGAGTCAATTCCAACTTATAGCAACCCTATAGGACAGAGTAGAGCAGCCCCACAGGGTTTCCAAGGCTGTGAACTTTACAGAAGCAGACTGCCACATCTTTCTCCCGCAGAGCAGCGGTGGGTTCAAACCACCGACCTTTCAGGCAGCAACTGAGTACCTAACCACTGTGCTACCAGGGCTCCTTCCTATAAACATGACAGCCTAGGAAGCCCTATGAGGTAGTTCTGCTCCGTCACATGAGGTCACTAAGAGTCCAAGTCGGCCAGACGGCACCTGACAACAACACAAAGACCACCTGGAGAACACGTTTTCCATACGGTTTTGAAATTGCCTGTAACGCAGGAGCCAGAGGGACTTTCCCTGGCTGTTAAAGCCCAGACTTGTGTGATCCAGAAATGTAAAGGCTGGCTGTAGAAACAAAATCCCCCATTTTCTATTTTACGATCTCTTCACCAAGGAAGGCCTCACAAGTTGGTGCTCACGTCTAACCTCCCAAGGTCACTATGAATCTACATCAACGCAATGGCACCTAACAGCAACAACAAGAGCACCGCAAAGGTGCAATAAGTTACATGAGACAAACAGTTGTAAGCTGCATGATGTTTTTCCATTGAAGCATTACTTCTACTTGGTTTCTTCAAATGATTTCCTACAATCAGTGTAAGTTATTTCCTCTTTGAGGAGTAAATTATGATTGTGCCCCCCAAAAAACAAGACTTTTGCCAGAACAAGAATTCAGGTCTTGCTTTTCACAGGTGAATTAATTGTCTTATATATTTTGTCTTAATATACTTTGGTGAGAAGGGAAAGTAGGAGGGTAAAGAAGACAGGATAGTCTCATAGAGTCCTCGGGAGGAAAGCATTTCAGGAGGAACCTGGTGGTGGCATTGTTGTCAGACGCCGCCGAGTCGATTCCAGTTCATCATGACCCTATGTGACACAGTAGAACTGCCCCATAGGGTTTCCAAGGCTGTAATCTTTATGGGAGCAGGTCACCAGGTCTTTCTCCCATGGAGCCACAGGGTGGGTTTGAACTACCGACCTTTCAGTTAGCAGCCAAGCACTTAACTGCTGGGCCACCAGGGCTCCTGCTAAATAGTGTCATTTTCTCAAGAGACTTCAAGGGAACCGGGAGCAGAAAAAGGCCATTGGTTTTACCACTGGGTTTGTCCCTGCTGACCTGTTAGATAAGGTGTCAGTATCCTGGCAAAAACAAAAATGAGGTTTCAGGGATCAAGATGAGAGTCAGCAGGGAGGAGAGAGAGGAATCATCACGAGTACGTCGCTGATTGAGAAGCTGGCCGGAAGAAGGACGAGTAATGGGATGATCGCCGGGAGAGCAAAGTCCAGTGAGGGCTGTTTGATGGAGCCTTTTCAGACAGAAGGGAATCGAGCTTAAAGCTTGACCTGCCTGCCAGGTGTGTCGTCCATTTTTCACTGATACTTTCCTCAGTGCCTTCTTTCCCCTGGCGGTTGACATCCTGAGAGTCTGACTCGTGGGTGAGTTCCACACTATACAATTGCTTTATTAATACCCTTTCCTGGTTCTGGAATACTTGCTGTCCTCACGGTCCTTCGCATTTGGTTTGCAGTAAGCTGCTGCTGGCAGCAAACTCAGGGAGCATCTACCACCTTTCTCCTGTGGGTCTAATGTAGGGCAGGCATTTGATGTGCAAGGTGCAGTAAGTATTTGCAAGGTATAACTGTCTGAAAGGTGTAGGCCAGGAGGCACTGTACTCAAACCTGCTGGAGTTATAAAAGTGTGGTTACATAAACTAAATTACAAGGATGCTAATGGAGGCCCAAGGAGACCCGTGGGGCAACGGTTCAGCTCTCGGCTGCTTACCGAAAGGTTGGAGGTTCAAACTCAACCAGCGGCTCCAAGGGAGAAAGACCTGGTGATCTGCTCCCGTGAAGATTGCAGTCTAGGAAACCCTATGGGGCAGCTCTACTCTGTCACATGAGGTCGCCATGAGTCGGAATCGACCCGACGACACCTAAAAACAGCAGTAAGTGTTTGCAAGGTGCAGGCCAGGAACCACTGTATTTACACCTGCTGGAGTTAGAAAGGAGCCCTGGTGGCGCAGTGTTTAACAGCTACAGCTGCTAACTGAAGGGTCAGTAGTTCAAATCTACCAGCTGCTCCTTGGAAACCCTATGGGGCAGTTCTACTCTGTACTATAGAGTCACTCTGAGTTGGAATTGACTCAATGGCAATGGGTTTGGGTTTTTTGGAGTTCGAAAAGCATGGTAACATAAACTAAATTACAAGGATGCTAACTGAGGCCCTGAGAGTTTGTGCTTGGATGAGGGGTAGGTGGGTTTTGTTTGTTTGGATTTGTTTATAGTATTCCTAGAAAGCAACATTTCTCAGCTCT